CAGTTATGTTTTCCAGTTTTACATCACCACCAGTATTATAATGTACAATTTGTTTTTAAATTTGATTTTTATTGTTTTTAATCCCAATTACATATTAGGACTTGCATGCCACATACAGTGAGCTAACTAGAGCAGCTCTAAGCCATGTAAATAACAAATAACAAATATTACCTTTCTATTAATTTGAATCTATTTTTGCCGAAGAAAGTGGGGACTATTTTTTCCTAATTTATTTACTATGCACTGATCACACATAAATCAACTAATCTGCGCCATCAAATTACCTCCACCACTCTAATATGCATAGATGTGTGCATGCAAGCACACACACACACAAATAAACTTACTTTCTGAAGTGAGGACATAATACCAATTGTGCCTTTGCGTTCACAAAAACTATTATTTCTCAACCAACAATTCCTTCATAAGATGATCATCAATGATCATCAATTCCTCAAATGAAAAGGTAAGTAGGTTACATTGTATCTTTTCTCTAAGTTAAACACTTATTTATTGACTACAGAAAATATCAAATCCAGCATGAATCTCTTATACCTAGCACTTTACTCTGGAATACATTTACAGTTGCAATGAATGCTTGTTAAATCCTAAACTAGTTCTCAAAATCTGACATCTCTGTTCAATGACAAACTTTGTCAAACAAAGCATCTTAATATTTGTTACTTAATGTTAAGCAAAGCACTGTGAAGTTTAGATAGTCATGCCCAGCATATAATATGGTGGCATTTATAAAACCATGATTCAACCAGAAAACCTGCTGCTCTGACAATGCAAATTTTGACCCTTAAAATATTCCATTTTATCTATGCAAGAACAATCTTCCACAATCTGGTATTCTCCAGAGGTTAGATAGAATACATAGGAATTATAATCCAAAACATTAGAAGAGCAACATGTTGGGGAAGCTGATCTAGATAATCTCCTAACTGTCATAAATCATCCTTTTTACCAACACTTTACAGACTTTAAATAAGATAGTGAGGTATTTTGTTTACATTAAAATTTAGTCCCCCCTCAAACTATGAAATAATTGAGCATGCAGAGGTCGCAGAAATCACATGAGCATAAGACGTATTTCTATAATTCTGAAAATATTCTAACATTGCATATGGACTGATTCATTGGGTTTCAGCCCGATATATTTACATACATACATACATACATACATACATACATACATACATACATTAATAAAAGTGTCTATATATATAATGAAATGTTCCTCCAGAAGTAATATGCCAAATTAGAAAAGCATGATCCTCATAGTTTAAGAATAAAAGAAAATTTAAAACAATTTTAAAGACTTTACAACACTGATATAATCTTATTTGAAGAAAACACTACTACTCACCACCAGCTCCTTGAATCATGGTGCCTGATTTCTGGACTTCATCAAATTTTGTAAAAATGATGTTCAGCCTGGTTAGAAAAAAATGAAGAATAATGATTTTGGCAGCACTTAAATGACAATCAAATAAGGCACATTTGTGTCTCTAATTTTAAGTCCTTCTTTTTTTAATTAAATGTAAATGAAAACAAAAGAAGCTAAATATTTTAAAGACTATGGAATTTCAAACCTATACATAAATTGAACTATATTCCTCTTACTCTGAGAAAATTTAGTCCATTCTTCAGTCTTAGTTTTAATTTACTGAAACAAAAGATACAGGTAGTCCTCAACTTATAATTGGTCGTTTAGTGATGGACAATGGACCCATTTATGACCCAAACTTTCAACATCCAGGACGCCCTATGATCACATGACCACATTTTGGGCCCTTGATAACTGGCTCACATAAACTGGCAATTTATGATATTTTTGTGGAAACTGGTGTTTATTTCTGGTTTCCAGAAAAAACTGTCCTATAGTAAACAATGGATTCACCTTACAACTGTCAGTTTTGCTTAAAGACTGCCATAATAAGGTTATAAAACTAAGTCTTAGTCATGTGGTGACCTGCTTTATAACCATCACAATTTACGACCAAAATTGTGGACTCAATTATGGCTGTACATTGAAGACTACCTGCACATACTTTTCCAGGAACATACACGTATAAAATGCCACTAATTCAGAATGTGTTTTAATCTCATTATTTGTAAGATAGTATCATAACTGAGAGTTGCCAAATCCTCACAATAATCTGATTTTTAAAAGTGGACTTCAAAACCTAACAAACGAACAAAACTCAGAAAGAGAAGCTTTTCACTCACCGAGACTGTGGCAATCCCTTTTTGCTGAGATCAGCTCTTACACGTTCACCTACATGTCTGTAGATTTCTACAAGACTATTTATTGCTGCATCACGAACCTAATCATTAAAGAATAACAAAAGGAAAATATTTGTATATGTTCAGCTGCATAAAGAAAAAGCAATGATATTACTCTACACACTGTCAAACCCAAAGACTTAGTCAAATTGCAAGGCATGGCAAGCTTAAGGAAACTTTTGCAGACTTTCTCTATTTCTTGGCAAACGTACTCTCCATTTCCAAATATTATAAACCAATAATGCTGAAAGTAATTAAACTTACTTTGGTATCCTGTATGATTTGAACTCAGGTCAGATTTTGGTATTTTTCCTTTAGCTGAAACCACTTAATATTAAACTGCTCCACTGCAACTGAAGTTTCACTTTGTGGCTTGTGCAACCATACATAGCCCGTGATCTACATTTTACCAAAGCACAAATTGATGATTTGGAAGTTGCACACTGGCTACAGGATGATGCATGCAGACCTAGCATGGCACTTTTACTGCATTATTATTTAATGACCCAGTGTGACGTACAAGCACTACTACCTAAGGCATTGCCTGCTATGCCAGAACAAGAGAATACAATGTCTTAGAAACGGCAATTTTGAAATTCTTATAGAAATGTTGTGATACACAGAGAAGCACATAGTATGGTATAATTGAAACCTCCGATAGAACTTTGCACTGAAATTCTTTTTCTAGGAATTCCACTATACCACTTCTATTGCAAAATATGTGAATGTGACAGTAATCCCCATTTATTTAATAGGTTTATATTCTGCCTTTCCTTCAAGAGCTCAAGACAGTGTATATAGTCCTCACTCCTCCCATGTTTTCCTCCATATCAACAATTCTGTGAAACAGAGTAAATTGAGGAAGATTAACTGGCCAAAAATCATCCAGTGAGATTCCATGGCTGAAAATAACTTGAATTTGGGTCTTTCTGCTTCTAGTCTAACACCTTAACAGCCACCCATATTATATCTAGTTATCCAAGGGAGGGGCCATAGCTGAGAATAAAATTGCACATAATTCTGCCTGAAGAAATGGATTCTATTTTCAGAATCTCTATGTAGGGCTAGTGTAAATTCTACAAAGGTATTATCAGCAAATGCAAGATATCAAACTAGAGAGTTTTATCAGTTGATCTTAAGAGTCAGCATAAGGCGGTTTCCCATACCACGCTGAATAGACATCAATTTATGATTAAAAATAGCTATAGTTAATTTCAAGACATTTGGCTTTAGAAGTCGCAATAGGTTCATCTTCATTTAGCTTCTTTGAAATGACCACAGTTAGTGTAAATCAGTATTCCCAATGATATCCAGACAACAAATCATAATTAAACAAAAGCGCAAGCTTTCAAAATTCTTCTGAAGGAACCCAAGATTCTTAAAAGCTTAGTGTAATTCATGCTAATAGCCTGTCTTGCGATATTATAGCTTATTGGAAAATAATTTCTATACAGGTAGTTCATGATTAATGACCGGTCACTTAATGACTGTTCAAAGTTACAACAGACCTACCAGGGGGCTACTTATGATCCAGATTTGAAGTTCTGACAGTTGAGGCCCACCTGTTGTCACATGACCAAACTTTGGGAGCTGGGCAAAAGGTTGCATTTGTGTCTGTTTGCAGCATCTGTGATCATGTGATCGTTTTCTATGACAGTTTTGCTGAAAATGGCATTTACTTCTGGTTTTCAGCAAAAGCATGCCCATAGCAAACAACTGGTTCACATAATGACCGTATTGCTTGCTTAAGAACTAGGACAGATGCTTTACAACTACTGCGCTCACTTAATGACCACTGCAAAAAAATGTCATAATATCGGGTTGGACACCTAATCAGCCTACTTTACAACCATTACCACTTATGTACAGTTGTAAGTCGAGGACTACAAAGCCTAGATTATTTTGTAAGACATTCTCCTTCTAAGGCATTGATGTACTACAATTCTTGCACTTTTAGGGGCAATGTAGAGTTAAATTTCCTTCTGAATAAACCATTTCAACCATATCACGGTGCATATTCAAAGTATGTAACCCAAGCACATCCTCATTTCTATAAGAGTTGTGTTGAAAGAGACAGTACTTCATTGAGAGGTCCTTGGGAGAGGATCAAGGACCCCTCATTTCAACCCTGAGCTACAAATACCTTTCTTTCTTGATAGCACTTAATTATTTATACTTCCTTCTAAAGCCAAAGGACAGAAAACAAAGTGAATTTTACAGATCTATTTCTATATCCATCAACTGACCTTAGCTCTTACAGACAGCTTACACAAAGGCCCACTTTTCATATTACCCTAACTGATACTTAAAATTACTTTTACAAGTAGGACCAAATTCCTATAGTCCTCTCACCTCCTCCACTTTTTCCTCCCTCTTGATATTAAGGGTCTTCTTGACTTCAACCTTACATAGAAACAGGTTCATTCATACAATTGAACTAGAAAAAATGTTTTAAAACCAGTTGCAACCAATTTTAAACACGTTAATTATAAACATGGCTAGGTCTGCATATTTAGGCAGCCAAGGTTTGCTTTGAATTCTGTGTACACATTTTGTGTAGAGTTAAACTGGAAATAAAAAGGGAGGGAGACGCTCATGACTTCTTAAGTTTTTTACTGGGATTTATTTCTGCGTGTACATTTCCTGCTTACCCGAGAACCAGGTTATAGTGCTTCTTCCCACTACCATTTCCCCACATCATCTCTCCCGTCTATAAGGGCACTGTTCAGAAAGCACATCATGGTTTGATGTTGTGATGAAACAACACAAAGTTAACAACTGTACTTGCTTACAGAAAAAAAACAATTGCTGAAATAAGCCAATTGGCTTCAAACACCATGGCCAATTTTCCAGTTAAAGAAAATTTCATTGAGCAATCAATGTGTTTGTATGTTTCAATATTTCTTGGCAAGAAAAGAAATCTTCTCATTTTTTAATAATGTCTATTCATACAACTCATTATTTTAACCAAGTATTAAATCAATCATAACTGGATGGGTTCACACAACACAGAAAATCACAATCTACTATTTATCCATCCATGGATTATTTCACCTTCTACTTAAATGAGTAGGCAAAGCAGATAACAACAATGTTAAAACAGAAAGTACAGAAAGTTCCAAAATGAAAGTTAAAATCAAAGTACCGGTAAATTAAACAACAAATAAAAGAGTCAATCTGATAATGATAGATGGTAAGTGGAAAGAATGAACGAGTGAGTGAGTGAATAAGTAGGTAAGTGAGTGGTTGGTAGAAAAGATAGTCCTTTACAGTTTTCTAAATCTAATGATAGCAGCCACCAAAATGCAATTCCCAAAGTAGTTCACTCCAGGCCAGGACTTCTCCTGTGTGGTAAACAAATCTCTGAGTGAATGTATCTGGCAAAGCATCTTTTTTCACAACTTAATGTGGAAGCAAAAAAAATTAAAAGTGTCAAAGAGAATGTCATCATTATTCATCCAATTATGGAGACCATTTCTGAAGGCTTTGAGAAATAATATCAGAGAAGATTAGTAGACAAGCTGGAACTGCCTAAGGAGATCACAATCCATGAAAGTATCTGTAGTAATAAATATGGCATATATAAGGTGCCACAAGATATTTTGCAATGTGTTGCTGCAAAAGACTCATCTAGCTAGCTTTATGGTAATCTGTATGGGCATACAATTAACTATCCGAATTTCAGTACAGTTTCTAGCATAACTGATCACATTTCAACCCTTCCAGCCTTATACCCTGGTTTGCTAGCCATAGATAACAAAAATGCAGAGATTAGTACATTAATAAAAAAGGACCACATTTTCCCTTAGCATTAACATGGAATCAAAGTATATTCCTAGAGAAGGAAAATATCCTCCTCCAAAATCAGTGTACCACGGCAGCAGATTGTTATTAGAGGAATCAAACTCTGTTTCTCTTCTATCGGTATGTGCAGATTACTAACTTTTGTCAATATATTTACAGTAAACCTGCAAGATAAATAAACATGTTTCTTGCCATCATGAATAATAGAAGTGTTAAACAATCTTTTAAAAGTTCATATTAAAAAGAAAATCTGGCTTTTCTAAATTTTACAGACAGCTTTGGATTTCCTACCTTTTCTAAAGACAATAAATAATATTACTTGGTTTTTTAAATAGGGGGTATGAGAATTAAGTGAAAGTAGACTAAGACAAAAGCAAAATAAAGTATCAGGCTGAACAGCAACAGGCTTGGCTTTTGATTTTCTTTTGGCATGATGCAAAAACCCAGCCATAGTGGTTTGTAAATCTAGACTTATAGTAGCTAAGTGTGAAGGAGGCCAATATAACTTATTCAGCCAATAATTAAAACCAATCTGATTTGTTTATTAGATTAATTTAGTCCATACTATCTATCTTATTTAATGTTTAGCTATTTTTATGTTTTTTTCTAGTTTTGTGTACTTCCCAGATTATATTGGAGTTAGACTGCCAATAAATTTAAATAAATAAGATAAATAAAAGCAAAAGAAGTGAACTATTCATAGAAGGAATCTTGGTCAATATACACTGCATCAGATTTGGCATCCACTTCAGACTCAAGGCCCTAATCTAAAGCATTTAAGCTCACTTTTTTTTAAAAAAAAAAAGCAACACTTTTAAAAAAATGCAGAATAGTTTTGCTTAAGCTGAACTTTTGAATTCTGCACCACAAGGACCTCTAATATACTAGAAGATCACAGATGTGAGATGAGTAGTGTAGAAATTTGATAAATAAATAAGGTGGTTATAATGAAAAAAAAAATTGAATGGTCTTACAAATGATGTCATAATAGGTCAATGTAGCCACCTATCTTTGATCAGCATAAATACTGATTCAGAAGAGAAGTTCCAGTTTAAAAAGAGGTTAAAATCCAAAATTGATCTAGGGAGAACACACATACGCATCCAGACATTAACAATAGCATTTCCAGAAAATATTTACCTCTTCTGTATTTTTCTCTCACAAAGGTGCAAACTTTTCTAATTAATCCTCCATTCTTCTTTCTCACAAATCATACTCATCCTGCCAGCCATCCTCA